AAGCAGGTTCCCTGCAGGGACCCCACTGCGGAACTCAATCTCAGCACCCCGGGATCATTACCTGAGTTGAAGGCAGCCGCTCAGTCACTGAGCCACCCAGGCATCCCTCATATATTAGTATTAGACAATGATTTTGAACTTGAAAGTTTGCAAATATTCATAGCCCACAGAGTTGTAAGTATTAAATCAGTACAGACAGAAAATAGCTTTTCCAATACAAAATCTGAGTGAAAAGGATTTCCTTGACTAGCTTTACTTCCACGTGTAAGTGGAAGCAGATAATGAAAAAGAAATTAAGACTATGTTTTTAAAACATGTTTTGTAATGAATTTATTGATTGGATAAGATTTAAATTCAATAAAACCTTGAGCTGTCTTTTTTTGAAAGCTGTAACTCACAAATAAAAATTTTTAAAGAAGAATGTTATTGAGACTTGGGTAAGAGAACAAAATTATGACATTAAGAGCATAAAAAAACTTCTCTAGGTTAACTTTTTTTTCCATGATAGGATAATTACTTTGTCAAGGGAAGTATAACTGACCTAATCTCTAAGCAGGATACCAGCTAGTAAAAAAAGAAAACCATAACCAGATAGAATATGAGCACACACAGCGCCATCTAAGTAAAACTCACAGTAAACAAGAACAAAAACCTAAAATGCTGACTTTAAAGTTTCTATGTGGTTTTGTACCTCACTTGTTCTAAATGTGCAGATATGAAGAGTTGTAGGTTTAATGTAATTGATGTCTCCTTTTAGGATTTTTAAGTATTAGTTAACTGACATGCTTGGAATAACAACCTAAGTCCCTTCTAGTATTAAAACTCGAAGTACCTGCCATACATACTAGTAAAAATGTAGACACATACAGTGCCACAGACTGACTTTTTGGCAAAAGGGGAAAGTGAGCAAAACGTTGGGAGTGCTTCATATCACAGATGACTAGTCTCTCCTCGAATGACAATTTAGTCTCTAAATTGACACGTGGTAAATCTGATAACCAAATACTTGCCAACCGTGAAATAAAGACCTCTCCTGACAGTGTTTCTATAGTTTTCCCATGCACATTTTGACTCTATCCCAGGAGCCCTTGCTCTCCCCCCATTACCCTCCCAGTGTGTTGGCTAATATATTTACCAAATTCAATATATTATCACTTTTTATCTTTTTCCATTTCTTGGCCCAATTTCACTCAGCTGATCTTACTTCAAAAATGATTTCATCTGGTTCTCTTTTCATCTCTCAGGCCACTCCACCTTTTATCTAGTCCTTACACATTCGAATTATACAAGGCTGGACTCTAGGCCTTCTTTTTTTTTTTTTTAAGATTTTATTTATTTATTCATAGAGATGCAGAGAGAGAGAGAGGCAGAGACAGGCAGAGGGAGAAGCAGGTTCCATGCAGAGAGCCTGACCTGGGACTTGACCCAGGGTCTCCAGATCACGCCCTGGGCTGCAGGTGGCGCTAAACCGCTGCGCCACCGGGGCTGCCCTAGGCCTTCTTTTGAACTCTATACTTACACTGTTCAATATGGTAGCCACTAGCTCATGGGACTATTTAATAAACTCAATAAAATAAAATATATATATAATTATACAGTTCCTCAGTTGCACTAGACATTTCAAATGCTCAATAGCCACAAGTGGTTCATGGTCATTTGCTGTATCAGCATTGATACAGAACCACTGCAGAAAGTTCTATCATACGGTGCTGCTTTATATCATCCTGCTGGAGTGATCTTATTCATGTCCATGGTGTCAGTTATCTATTTGCAGAAGACTCACAAATTTGTACTCTGTTGTACAAGCTTCTCCTCTGAGCCCAAGACCTATGCGGCCAAATAGTTTAACTTTTCTATTTGGATGTCTCAAAAGTATCTCAAGCCCAATATGCTATAGGCTAAATTTCTCATATTCATCTCCAAACCTAGTTTTAGAATGTTCTTTTTCTCACCAATGCCGCCATCATCTAATCCCAGGTAAACAAGATAGAAAATTCATCCTTTGTTCTCCTTCATTCCTTCAATCCATTTCTAAGCCCTTTGAGTTATCTCTAAAGTATCTCTCAGATTTTTCCCTTTCCTCATTTCCTGTGCATCCACCACAATGTATAGCTAGATTAGTGGAGAAATCTCCCTGAATTCAAATCTTGATTTTGGCTAAGTGACCTTGGAGAAGTTACTTAACCTTTTTTCCTTAATAGAGTTTTTCATCTGAAAAATGGGAGTAATGCTATAATTTTCTTCATGTTGTTGTAAGAATTAAGTAAGATTATGAATGCAGAGTTTAGCATCGAATCCAGGACATAAATTCCACATAAATGTGAACTACTAGGACTGCTATCATCTCAAGCCTGGATCACTGAAATTATATCCTTTCTTATTCTTGCTCCAATCTTCTGTCCAAGAGAAGACTAGAGAGACTTTTAATGAAGTTAAATCTGATCAGTCCTCATCTCCCTGGAAAATCATTAATGGTTGTACAGGGCTTTTTAGAATAGAGAGATTCATCTACTTTTTTCATTCCTTGAGCTCTATGCTTTAACCAAACTGGGTTTGGTTAAAAGCTCCTTAGTCAGGCCATGTTCAGTCCATGAGGGCTTTTGCTAATAATATCTCCCTTTTTTGAACAGCCTCCCCTGCAAATTATCATTCATCAGACCTCAGCTGAAAAGTCACTTCCTCCCCACTAAGTCTGGTCCCTCTATTTTGCATTCCCATTGTACCATGCTCCTCTCTGCCCTAGAAGTTCTCAGTTTGCAATTACACATTTATATGAGTGACTATTATTTATTACTACACGTGTTTGTTTCCTCCAACAGACATCTCAGACTGAGGTCCTGATATGCCTTCTATCCAAGCCTGCATCATTCACCATCTCCCCCATCTCAGAAAACAGCAACACTATTGAGTTGCTCAAGCCAAAACCCTTGATCTCTTTCACACTCCATATCTATCAGAAAATTCTATTGCTTCCCCAGAATTCAACCAACTCCCTCCTCCCCCCGTTTTCACTGCTACCCATCATGGTCTCAAAGCCATATTACCACTTCCTGGACTGTTGAGAGAGCTGCACCTTGACACATGTTCTTGTTTCTTCCTCTGGCCTCACCATTCATATTTTTGTATATTTACAAAGGCAATTAGATTGATGCTTTGAGTATATGTCAAATCATGTCATTCCTCTACTCATACTCTCCAATAACTTGCAATAACAATAGAGAGTGAAGTGACCTTCCCACCCAAATCTGTATGTAGAAACCCTAATCCACATGACTGTATTGGAGATAGTGCTTTTGGAGATTAAGATTAAATGAAGTCATAAACGTGGGGCACTGATCAGACAAAACCGGTCCCCTTATAAAAAGACACCAGATTTCTTGCTCTACCATGTGAGCACACAGTGATAAGACAGCTGGCTGCTAGCCAGGAAGAAAGCCCTTACCAGAAGTGACAATGCTGGCACCTTGATCTTAGACTTTCCAGCTTCCAGAACTGTAGGGAAATAAATTTCTAGGGCAGCCCGGGTGGCTCAGCAGTTTAGCACCGCCTTCAGCCCAGGGCCTGATCCTGGAGACCTGGGATCGAGTCCCACATCAGGCTCCCTGCGTGGAGCCTGCTTCTCCCTCTGCCTGTGTCTCTGCCTCTCTCTCTCTCTCCTCTCTGTGTATTCTCATGAATAAATAAATAAAATCTTTTTTAAAAAAAAGAAATAAATTTCTATTATTTAAACAATCCAGTCTATGGTACTGTGTTAGGACAGTCCAAATTAATCTACCATCTCACTCAAATTAAAAGCCAAAGGGATCCATTCTGGTCTATCATGCCCCCAACCTCTAAACTCTTGCCTTTGATTCTCCCCATCCCTTAAGTAGGCCTATAGGCCATACTGGCTTATATGCAATTCTATCAACATGTCAGGCATGCGTTCAACTTTCATTCTGTTTTTCTTCTGCTTGGAACACTATTTTCCCAAATATACTTATTTCTTACTACCTCAGTCAAATGTCAACTTCTCAGTGGTGCTTTCCCATGACAAATCTTACCGCCTCCATGTCACAGACATATCCCATTCTCCTTCTTTTGCACTCACTACTAGCATGCTACGTATTTTATCCATTGAACTTTATGGCCTATCTCTCCCCCGCCAGTCTATAATTTCCATGAGAGAAGTGACTGTCTGCTTTGCTCACTGCCATATTCTCAAAATACAGAGCACCTCATAGTAGGTGCCTACTGTTTGTTTATCTCAATGAATGCTGAATTCCAATAGCTACCAAATCAGCTTCAGTACTGCACAGATCAGCTACTGAGGCAGCAATGCTCCCGTAGGTAGGAACAGCACGTCTTAAAGGACCACCTGATTTTTCTGGCCTCTCCTGGTTTCCTTCTACAATTACTAGAAGGGGGACTTTAAAGACTGTGGCTTCATGATCTGAGAGTGGTTCCTTCCTATCCTCATTTTTTACAATAGAAATGATTAAATTTAGAAGGAGCACTGCGAAGGTCAAACCGGATCATGAATACCACACCTTCTTGAAAACTGGTTGCCACTTTCTTCGCGGCATTTCCAAACATCTCTGCGAACCCTGTGGCTCTGAATACTTCCAGGGTTCAGCAAAGGAGGATGTTTATCCCCGGCAGTAAAACTTTAAAATACATAAATACAGATAAACAAAAGACAAGTGGTGGAAGAAGCCACTCGTTATCTGTTTCTACGTGGGGCTGTGGATAGAATTTAGGTTAAAAATACATTCTGCTGCTAAGAAAGCTGCAGATTCACTATATGCCCCTCCATTTCACAGAAGAGGAAACAGGAATTCTTCACACCCCAAGCCATGCCGAGAGTTCCCGGTTAGCGCTCCGCGGTCAGTCACTGCCCTACCGTTCGCTACTGCTAAGCATTCACATCTGAGCTGAGCTTCCCATTATTTTTTTGGAAGTGCCTCGAGTTAAGAATCGTCTTGAAACTATAAGGTATCACAACTAAGCTCCCTTCTCACCTTCAAACATCACAGCTTTTAAAATAAAGGTGTCGTCGAGGTGTGGACACACCCACTGCATCTCCGCGGGAGTGTTTCTGGTCATGCAAATCTAACGCGGCAGGGCGGGGAGGCGGCCGCCTCAAAGGCGGCTGAGAGGAAATCCTGCCTCCTCCCCCAGGCTCAGGCCCGGAGGGACAGCGGACAGCGGCCGCGGGCCGGAGCTGCGAGCCGACCTCGCCTGGGGGCGCACCTCGCCGGGCGGTCCCGGAAGCACCTGCGGGCCCGACGGGAAAGCCCCCGGCATCACCCACTGGCGCGAGGGGGAGCGGGGCGCGGCCGGCAGCTCGAGCGCCGCCACGGGTACCACACGCCTGGGGTGAAGCGGCCCCCGAGCCCTGCAGCATCTCGCGAGATCTCGCCGGCTCAGCCCCAGTACTGCGAGCTCAGAACTTAAAAAAAAAAAAAAAAAATTTTTTTTTTTTTTTAAAGAAAGAGAGAGGATTGGAGAGAGCGAGCGAGCTCCTGGTGCCTCCGCTGTGGCAGCAACTGCCGCGGGAGCATCAGCCGTCCGGCGTGCGCCGAGGCAGGACTCGGGCGCCCGCCCGCGCGTTCGCCCGCCGGGCCGGGCCGGGCCGGGCCGGGCGCCGTCCGCAGCCTGCTCTGACGAGGCCCGGGCTGTCGGCCCATTGACGTGCAGCCCCAGGGGCGGGGAGAGAGGGAGGCGGCCGGGGGGCCTTCTCCTCTTCGCCGCAGAGGAGGCGGGGGAAGGAGGTGGAGGGGTGGGAGGAAGGCGACGGAAGAGGAGGTAGCGGCGCGGAGATCCCGGCGACGGCGCTGAGGCGGCGCGCCGCCGCGCCTGCTCCCCGCTCCCCGCTCCCCGCTCCCCGCTCCCTGCTCCTGCTCCTGCTCGCGCTGCCGGCGCTGCCCGGACCGACGCGGTCCTCGCGCAGGCCGCTCTCGCGTGGGCTCTGGCAGAAGCCCGGGAGGGCCGCGGCGCCGAGGCAGCGCCTGCCGCGCGACACTGCGGGACCGCGGGTGGGCGGGCTGAGGGGCGGAGGAGCGGCCGACCCCGCCTCCCGCGTGCTGCCGCCGGAGCCGCCGCCGCCGCGGCCCCGCCGAGGCTTTAAACAGCGCGGCCCGCCCCGCGCCCCCTGCACTCGCGCGCCGACTCGGCTGCCGGCGGCGTTCGCGCGGGTCGGGCTCGCGGCGGCGCAGGGGCGGGCGGCTCCGTCACCTGGCGTTGCGGCCGCGGGCGCCGCCGGCGGGGGGCGCGGAGGGCGTGCAGCCCGCGGCGGCCGCGGGGCTCTGCGAGTCTGCCGGCGGGCGGGCGGCGATGGAACCCGGGCCCACGGCGCCCTCCTCCGGCGCCCCGAGGCTGGCTGGGGTCGGGGAGACGCCGCCGGCTGCCGCGGGGGCCGCCGGCGCCGGCGCCGGCGTGGACCTGCCCGGCACGGCCGTGCCCTCGGTGTCGGTGTCGGAGGATGCTGCGGCCGGGAGCCGGGGCGGCGGCGGGGTCCGCGGGGAGGGCGCCGCGGCGGCCGGGGACGGACTGGGCAGACCGCTGGGCCCCACGCCGAGCCAGAGCCGCTTCCAGGTGGACCTCGTTTCCGAGAATGCCGGGCGGGCTGCGGCTGCGGCTGCGGCGGCGGCCGCGGCGGCCGGGGCCGGGGCCGGGGCCGGGGCCGGGGCCGGGGCCGGGGGCAGGGAGACCCCGGCGGCCGGGAAAGCCAGCGGCGAGAGCGGGCCGGGCAAGGGCAGCGAGGAAGCCAAGGGCCGCTTCCGCGTGAACTTCGTGGACCCGGCCGCCTCCTCGTCTGCCGACGAGAGCCTGTCGGACGCGGCGGGGGTCGCGGGCGACGGGCCCAACGTGAGCTTCCAGAACGGCGGGGACACGGTGCTGAGCGAGGGCAGCAGCCTGCACTCGGGCGGCGGCGGCGGCGGCGGCGGCGGCAGTGGCAGTGGCAGTGGGCACCACCAGCACTACTACTATGATACCCACACCAACACCTACTACCTGCGCACCTTTGGCCACAACACCATGGACGCCGTGCCCAGGATCGACCACTACCGGCACACCGCAGCGCAGCTGGGCGAGAAGCTGCTCCGGCCCAGCCTGGCCGAGCTCCACGACGAGCTGGAGAAGGTGAGCCCTCCCAGCCCTTGCCCTGCAGCCCCCTCTCCCCAGCCCTGCCTCATTCCCCAACCTCCGGTCCTCGCCGACCGCGGGATGTGGCCGCCGCCTCGCCACGGGTGAGTGAGGTGGCGGGAATGGACGTGCACGGCTCGTTGGCATCTCTGCAGGCAGCTGTCAAGGCTGGAATTGCGGAGGAGTGTAACTTAACCTCTGAAAAGTTTGCGGCGGGTTGAGCTGCTTAGGGGACGGGAGAGGGACCGGGTTGCACAGCCCTCACCGTCCACTTGCGTGTGTCCCTCGTGTATGCTTGCTTTCTCACCCACGCTTAGCGATCGGCCATCCCTCCCTCCTCTGAATGACAGTTGTGCTGGTGGGCCCGGGAAGGGTGTGTGCGGATGGTTTAGGCGAGGATTTATTCTCTGGGGAAGACAGTGGAGAGCACCTACCGTCTGTGCCCCTTGTAGAGGTTGCGACTGTATGGCTTATGTGCGTACGCCCGGTAGGTGTGTACGAGGGTCCCGAGAGTGGGAACCGTAGTGTTTGAAAGGGAGACCTTAACAGGGTGTGTTTGTGGTCTGTGGATTATTAAAGCTCAATTCCTGCCATCTTGAGTATGCAAAGGATCAAACAAATCTTGGGATATGATGTTCCTGATCACGGCATAAATCTGTATTTTATTACGTAAACTTCTTGTGAGAGGACTATATACAAAGTTGGGAGGGTGGGCAAAGTGCAAAATAGGGTGAGGAGAAAGGTACAAAGTGAGAAAGAGAAGTAAGGGAATCGTGGGGGTTTTGTTACTGTTTTTGCGTGTGTGGAGAATGTCCAGAAAGACCTTCGAGGGTCTTGCATTAGTAGTTATATTTGTGAACAGAAAACCATCCCCAAAAGTCTGTTGATCTATACGATTCTATTTTTTATGGCCACATCATCTTTTTATTTCATCAGGTTATAAAATCATTGTTTTGAGATAACTTCAGTGCTTCTGAAACTTGATTAATATTTAACTTTTATGAGTTGGGACTACTTTAACAAGTGTCTAAGTGACTACGCTGATGAAATTTTGTGAATGGAAAGAGTTGGTACCACATAGGATGATGATCACAGTGTGGAAAAGTTTAAATACAGAACATATGTAATTTCTTTGTAGGTGATTATTTGCTCTCGTACAGTCGTTTCATTCAAGACTGTATTTGTCCTAGTGTTTGATAATGTAACATTCATACAATTTGAAATAATTACAGAGGTCCCAATTCTTGCAGCTTGCTGATTCTTTAAAAGCCTGACATTTAGTTTTGGATAATACTACTCCTGTTACTCCATTATGGTATTTTTGTCATATCAGAAGACAGTTTTTTAAAACACTTATTTATCCTCCTCTACTTTCTTTCAAATTTATTATTTTTATCCTTGCCAAATTCTAAGTCTCTGTAAAGTATATGTATAGCTGGTAATTTCCCTTCCAGTATATAGCATATTTATTATTAAAAACATCATAAAGCTGTATTTCAGATTGCACCAAAGCTGAGTAGTTAAGTAGTTAGTCTATATTTACCCATAAGTTTTAAAAAGGGTTTTTAAATTGAAGGATGTTAAATATCTTGAACTTGTAAACATCCTAGGAAAGTTTTTATTTTAAATTCTCTCAACAACAAAGTACTTCAAGTTTGAACAACAAAGCACTTCCAGGTTCTCCAAAACTTGAGAGGTTTTTTTTTTTTTTTTTTTTTTTTTTTGTTTGGGCATTTTTGATCAGTTTACAGTGTCTTAAAAAGAACACTTGTATTGTTAGCTGTATAGTTGAAGCAACTACCCAACCTATGAGCCTCATCTTCCTCAGCTTTCAGGGTTATTTTGAAGATTAGAGAAAAAAAAAAAAAGGGGGACATCAAGACCCATGTTCAGTGCCTAGAGCATAATGGCTTGTATCGTTATTATTTTGATCTATGTTGGTCTTTCAGGTAGCGCATCAACTCTAGGATTTCAAATTTTAGATTCTCTTAATTCCTGCATGATGAATGTAGTATATAAAATGTTAGCATCATAGCTCCATTTATGCAACAGGTGGTATAGTGAATTCTGTGTAGTTTTTTTTTTTTTTTTTTTTACACTTTCTGCCACTCAAGTCCTTTTATAGTTAGTGAAAAAGCATAGAATTGTTTAGAATTTAGCAAATGGACTGAAGAAACATGTCCTGTTAAGGAGTACCAATCTGAGTATAGAGACATACCGCTGTTGAAGGAGGGCAGAGAAGGTTATAGCATGGTTTTACTTGATCCCCCAAAACTGTTCCTCACTCGATCTAAATTTACTTTAACCTATTCTAATGTTTCTAGCCCTCAGTGAATCATAATACTTAGGAATTTGTAACACTTAATTCTAACACTTGATTGATGTTCCATGGTCTATTTTGATCACTAAGTGCTTCAATATCCACCTTAACTGGATCTGACTCTGTGCTAGGTTCTATCAAAGAGCAAAAGAAGTAAAAGACAAGCACTCTAGAAACGTGTTAGGGGAAAGGGCTACATAGCCTTTCTTCTACTTGAATTCCTTTCTTTGCCCACCACTGTGACTAAAGTTTTTTTCCCTGAAAATCCAAATGAAGTAGAATAGTGCACTTCCATGGTGCGTCTTGCTGTGTTATGCAGCCATTGTAGAGCCAGGACTCATGAGTTTTCCATTTATCAAATATTTATTGGAGAAAGGAGTTTCTGAAGTGTTGGCCACCTGGCTTTTGCTGTGGGATGATGGAGTGGTTAGCAAAACATATGCTGACTTTGTCTAGATATACCTTAACCAAATAGTTGCACAAATAATAATATAGTTACAAACTTTACTTTTAGTGCTATGAGAAAAGTGTAGGATACTAATATGGATATAACGGGACCTCTTTGTAATTGGGCTTGGGGAAGCCTTCTTCGAGAAATGTGGCATTGAAGCTGAAAGCTAAAGAATGAGTTAATGAAAGGGCAGAATAGCATTCCAGGCCAGAGAAACAGTGTATGTGGATGTAGTGAGGGGAGACAGTAATATGTCCAAAGAACTATAAGGAGGCCAGGGGATTTTATTATAAATGTAGTGGCAAGTTGTTGAAGGATTTTTCATGAGGTAGCAACATGATCTGTTTTGTATTAACATCTTTGGCTGCTGGATAAAGAGTGGATTGGCAGGAGCGACAATGGAAGCCGGGAGACCCAAGCTATTACTCAGTTACAGATAATAAGAGTTGGTGGCAG